GCAGCGTGCGGGGGGGGGGGGGGGTTTCCCTCAACTTCTTTCCCTCGGCTCTTTGCACTGTATCCACCATTATTTTGGCTCTTTGGTTGTAACTGGTTGCCCACCCCTGCCTTCGAGACTAACAAAAATAGATAGTATTGTGAGCTTTCAAGGGCAAATCCCATTTCTTCAGATGACCAGAGACTGCTCATCTGAGGATGTGAGTTTTGCCCACTAATGTTCTGGATACTATATACTTTTGTTAGTCTCTAAGGTGCTTCAGAACTGTTTGTTTGTTTGTTTTGTTGTTTTTGTTCTGAGGGGATACAAAAGGTTGTGTAACCTGTGGACTCTTGCCCTCTGGTTTTGTAGCTAAAATGACAGCCATATATTTTCTGTCTAGGGCAGTAATCTGAACAAAGCCATGACGAGAGAGGAGGCTCAAGCTTTTGTGGGGGAAGAACCCTGCAACATAAAAACATTGACTGAAAAGGACTTGTACTGTGAACCACCTGAAGTACAACCTCAGCCAAAGAGAAGACAGAAGAGAGATACAACCAACAACCTTCCTGAATTCATTGTATGTTCTGTGTTGTCTATATAATCTGTGCATAGATAAAAGGGTATGGACTACTCTTTGTGGAACTGGTACAATAGCTTCCTACCTGTATAGGTTTATTCTTCAGTGGTGTATTATATAAAGGAAGTTGTCTTGTGATGCCACACCACTTCCAGATTCTGCCTGCTGTTTGTAGAAGGATTACAGATAAATAGAATGACCCAAGTTGTTGATTGCCACCTTAATTAAGGGTTACAGTACTATCCCCTCTCGGAACTAGGCACAGAGTTCTCTATTGTGACTATTGCTGTTACAGTCAAACACTATTCTGGGTAGTAAGTGCTTGTAGGATTGGGCCTAAATTCCTTTGTTATAGTAATGTTTTTTATTTTTTATTTTATGTAATAAGTGCAAAATTACTTGCTGGAATAAACAGGTGCTGCTCCATTAGTTCCTTAACTTCAGCGGAACTATGCACATTTACATCAGCAGAAAATTTCTGTCTCAATATTTATTATTCCTTTTTGGCAATCTGGACTAGGAATTCTGTAGATCATATCTATTACTAGGAAACTAAAACACAGCAGCTAAATTATTGAATAATCTTCCTGTAGCATTATTTTGAGGCAGATATAAATATGTATTTAATTATTTAGGTGAAATTTGGCAACAGAGAATGGATCCTAGGAAGGGTGGAATATGACACACGTGTGAGTGACATACCTCTGGAGGTGATTTTGCCATCAGTAATTTTTCCTATGGTATTCATTATCATCATTTCCATCTACTGCTACAGGTAAGATGTGCTCTTCTATTCAGATGTTATTGCTGTCCCAAAATTCTGAAGGAGAAGGTTGATGGTACAGAAAAGCAAACTGTTCTCATCTGCAAAGAGAAACAGTATTGATCACTTAATAAATAGGCTTATGGGCTGGGAGCCCAACATGGGGTTGGAAGCAGCTGGGTTGGAGAAGACCTTGCCTGTGTCACAGGGGCTGTTCCAGCCCAGCTGTGGTGGGTAGAGAGGTCACTCCAGCCCAGCAGGTTGGAACTGGCCTTCCTGACCCACTCTTGTTTAACCAGTTAACTGATTAAATGGGATTTCACATCCCATACTCCCTTCCTGATCCCACGCACTCCTCCTGAATCCCGGTCCCTTACCTAAAACTCCCTTCTTGTAACCAGCCTCCCTCCCAGACTCCACACATCCTCCATTAATATAATGGAGAGATGTGGCCCTCAACCACTTATTAAATTCTTGGAGTTCCCCCTACCAAAAATTATTACCCACCCCTCGCTTAAAATGTGCTCACTGATCTTTAAAATGTAACTTAATAAGTTTAAAATCATTGGGCCCAATCCTTAGCCAATCTGTGTAAGCAGCTCCACTGTAGAGCTACAATGATTTACATTAGCTGAAGATCTGACCCACTATCTCTTCCACTTTTGTGGTTAAAGGTAACAAGGAAAAGAAACGGCTTTCCTCTGAGCCATCAGCCTTCCCATTCAGTGCAGTGGTAATATGCCTCCCTTTAACCATTAATAACTTTTCCAAATCTTATCTTTATTCCTTAAAGGCGAAAAAGCCAACAAGCAGAACGTGAATATGAAAAAATCAAGTCACAGCTTGAAGGTTTGGAAGAAAGTGTCAGAGATAGGTGCAAAAAAGAATTCACAGGTATGATTAGTGTTATATTTCTTAATGAACCTTAATAAGAAGTCTTAAGATAGGCTAAAATTACTTCTCTTTTCTTGCTTAAACTGTTTCCTGGGAGTTACTACAAGCCAATATAACTCCTCTTGTTTGCAGATATCACTGTATGATACATATCCTTCTAATAATTTAATCTAAAAGACACAAGAAGCAATGGGCTTAAATTGCAGCAAGGGAGGTTTAGGTTGGACATCAGGAAAAACTTCCTGCCTGTCAGGATAGTTAAATACTGGAATAAATTATCTGGGGGGAGGGGGTTGTTAAATCTCCATCATTGGAGATATTTAAGAGCAGTTTAGACAGACCCCTGTCAGGGATGATCTAGAGTCTAGACAGTGCTTGGCTGAGCAGGGGATGGACTCGATGACTTCTCAAGGTCCCTTCCAGTTCTAATGTTCTATGATTCTATAAAAGCCATAAAAACATAAAACAAAGTGAAAGGTATTAAAGGAACAAGTAATTTTTTAAGATAAAATATACACAAGTAGTTAAATAAGCAAATGGAAATAGAAACCAGGTATTTTATTATTGCTATTAAGAAGATGCCACTGGTACTGAAAAGTCACCTGTTTCACAACAAGTATCTGTAGTCTGCACTTACGCAGCTGATAAAATGGCACATTTTATTGTAATAAAAATTACAATGTTAGGAAAACCACCAAATGTACGAATTGGTGGGACAAAAAGGATGTGTCGATAGAGTGACATATCTAAGACTGGGAAAATCAGAGAAGCAACACAAATTTAGCTGACAGAACCTGATTTAAGGAATTGGTTCATTCTTTACTGTATGTAAATAGACATGACCTGACGGAAAGCAGTGAAATCTGTAAGGGCTCGAAACCTCCTGATACCAGTCTACTTACTCTGGTGTCGAATTGAAGCATCCATGTTTGAAACTTTGGCCTGCCTGATTACCTTGACCTGTCATATCTCTGTTTAAAATATTGTATTTGTTTATACGCAAGCACTTTTCTTCTGTAATAAAGCTTTTTTTTTGTTTACTATAGAGAAATGACTTGTTTCTTATAGAGAGGGGTTGGAAAAACGGTAGTTGAATCTGAAAATGGCTTAAATTTGGCTTAGGATACTCAGGGTTAGGATTTGGAATTGATTCTCTCTAGATTTTTGCCATCTTGAATAATGTAAATCTCTCAAAATCTTTTCAGAGTAGTTTTTCCCATTGTACTTGAGTCACATCTGCAAAACTGACATGTTCCAAGTTTGGACGCTACCGATCCCAAATCTCTATAGAAACTGTTTGGATTGAGGACTTCAGTTTCCAATACCATTCTGAAATTTGAAGGGCTGAAGATCAAGATTCTGCTTTGGATCCCTCTGTTTATTAATGTTCCTCACCAGCTTGCCTTTGTGTAATCCCTCTTCTTTCTACCCCCAGTTTCTCAGAATAGTTTCTGGAATGTTAAGCTGCTTGTCCCCTGCCAGAGCTCCTAGAGGGATGCAATGAGTACTGCTGCCTGCTGGAGTGTAGGGTTAATTTCCTCCTACTCCATCACTACTGACTCTCTGGGCACAGTAGGAGCCCAAATTGTCTCCAGCAGGTGTAATCTAACATAGAAGATGCATGTTGTTTTGGCTAATAGTAAAGTAAAGCACATAAATGAGAATAGTTTTTAGATTTATATAATACTGATGATGGTAAGTTCAGAAGGATTCTGCCTGCGTGCATCAGACCAGCCATAGTAAAGGAAGTGGTGATTAAGGTAGGAGAACACACATAGCATGAAGCCTGAAACCAGAAGATGTTTTCTTTCTTAAAATTGGCTGAATAAGAAGATCCAGGCTCAATTATGTGGTCAATAAAAATTGCAAAGATGGCAAGCCATTATATTAATTAACATGGTATTCTGGTCAATCAGCAGTATCAGGCAATTGGAAAGCCTCCAGCTAAAATAACCACTTTGTGGAAAGGTGACCTCCTAATTGCTTTCTGTGTCAAGAACTTGAAAGCTTTTGGGTCTCACTGAAGTGTTTTCATCATTTTCAATCAACTGTTTTGCTTTCTTCCTTCTTGCCCTTTTTCTAATAAAATGATTATTTTTATACTTCCTGTTGCTATTGCTCGTTGGTTCAATATACCAGCTACCGTGAAAAGACTTAACAGGAAACTTTCACAATGATGTGGACTCAAAGGAATAGAAAATATACAAATACAAAAAAAGTAGTTGGCCACAATATCTTTTTTCTCCTTTGCTTGTGTGTGTATATGCACATAAAGCCTAGCATTCAAAAATTACTGATTCTACGGTAAATTTACAATTCTCCACTTACAATATATCAGTAATAGATAATACTGTGATAATGAGGATGATTGTTATCCTATGTATTATGATGCAGAGTAGGAGCCCCGGTTATCAATCCAGGCCTATTTATGCCTAGACACAGCAAGTAGCAGCCTGTGACAGCCAATCTCAGAGCCTGGACTCTGTAGTTCACTCCATTCCTTAGAGACCAGGAGCCTACAACTCTAAGCCCAGGTACTGAGACTCACTGTCACAAGCTCTAAATTTCTGAGTAGACATCCTCTGTGCTTCCTCAGACAGCACTAAGTAGTCCGTGTCTCAACAGGTTTATCTGGGAAGAAATTATGGGTTGTAGGGAACATGCTTTTGCAATCGGTAAACATGGTAAGGAAAAAGTATAATGAATGTGGAAGAGGAAATTTTTTTAAATACGTTTAATCATTTTTTCCTACTATAAAATGCTTTCATTGTCAAATGAAAACAAAACACAGTATGGTTTCTAAAACTAACTCTAAACTTGAAATATTGTATACTCTAGATCTAATGATAGAGATGGAAGATCAGACCAATGATATCAGTGAAGCGGGAATTCCTGTGTTGGACTATAAAATGTACACAGACAGGGTCTTCTTCTTGCCCTCAAAAGATGGAGAGAAAGATGTAATGATTACTGGGAAACTGGATATTCCAGAGGCAAGACAGCACACTGTGGAACAGGCTCTAAATCAGTTTTCCAATCTACTGAATAGCAAATCATTTCTTATCAATGTGAGTATTGACATGAGAGTCACTTAAAGCTCACCTTGTACTTTTCAGAAAATGCTTTTTGACTGGCACATGTAGAATGGCATGTACATTTTTAGCACAGATATGCCTAAAGTTTAACTCATAAGTCCATATATAGGCATCTAAAAAAGTGTCCTTATTTCAAAACTGATGAGTGCACAACTGCTTACACAAATATGCTAAATCCTGGCATTCCGTGTAAATCAGGCTGCTTTTTATATGTAGCTAAATAGGGAGCGAGAAGCTATTTTTTAAGCGTGGCCTTAATGTTTATTGGTAAAAGGAGTGTTACAGTCTGCAGTAGAGGAAAACATGTTCTAATACTCAGTTTACTTATTTAGCTCACAATTCTTGTAATTGAAATGGGTTTGTTTTTATATTTGGTTGAGGGTTTCTTTGGGAGGGGGGCAGGAGGACGAAGGCTAAACTTAGTGCAGAGATTTTTTTTTTTTTTAAACAAAGCTTCCTTCATTATATATTACTTCATAATATATTGAAGACCTAGATATATTAGTTGAATTAACCCTGAAGACAGTGTGTTTAAAACTGTCTCAGAGAGAGAGCTTATTTATACATAGTTTGTCCAAAACTTTGAGTTTTTTATTTTTTTCCTTCTCCTGTAGTGCCAGGTATGTTTTGATATGTTCTTGAAACGATTCATGACCAGTTTCAGATGCAAAGCTAAATTTGCTTTTTTCTGTTTTAGTTTATTCATACATTGGAGAACCAGAGGGAGTTCTCTGCCAGAGAAAAAGTTTACTTTGCATCCTTATTGACAGTTGCTTTACATGGAAAGCTAGAATACTATACTGACATCATGAGGACATTGTTCTTAGAGCTGATGGAGCAGTATGTTGTGGCCAAAAACCCAAAGCTGATGCTCAGAAGGTTTGAATGATTGTCTTGTTTTCTATAGTCCTTCATTTTTTTGCACCATTGTTACATTTCCAGTGTGGTGTTTTTCAGAGTTTCTGTGTCATGCTGTAGACTGTCTAGAAATAATGATTATGATGACATACCTGAGCACATTAGGGAACAAAAATAAATAGGAATTATTTGTTTTAAGAGCAGCTAGAGACATTTTTCCTGTCCATATAATTTAATTTGGAGGTTGGAATAAACTTGCTCAAATATCTCTCCATGAAAAAAATGCAATATTGAATTTTTTTATACCTCTTATTTAATTGTATACCAGATAATCTAGCATTCTGGCCATATCTCCCTAGTGAATGCTCTTAAAACAATTTCTTAATCCTTAATAAATTGCAGAATTTCATCTCTTGCTCTGTGTACTGTATTTTGTTGCAATTACTTTGTTCCTCAGTAACTAAAGTGTAGGTTTCCTTTAAGCACTTATTCTTACTACATGGAAAAAAACTTCTGACTTGACTATATGGTACCTTTCATTAAAAGTAAGGAGCTGAAAGTATCTACGAACATTGAACAGTGCAAAGCCTTATTTAATGCAGGCACATGCTTTAAAGAACTTCTGTAAAATTATTGCATGACGACAACAAGTGCTGTAAGAGTAGAAATATTTTATTTCAGGCAACACTTAAAAAGAAAATTGCCTTCTTACCAGCAAGTATTTTCGATTTTCATGTTTTTTAGATCAGAAACTGTTGTGGAGAGGATGTTATCCAATTGGATGGCTATTTGTTTATATCAATATCTGAAGGTAGGAGATGAAAGCATATACTTATGCATATACTTTTCCTTCATTAAATACTTAGTTATATGGCATTGATAATACCTTGCATTTTTTTTATTTTATTTTTTCCCTTAAAAAGGACACTGCTGGAGAGCCTCTTTATAAACTGTTCAAGGCAATCAAACACCAGGTGGAAAAAGGCCCCGTTGATGCGGTGCTAATGAAAGCCAAATATACATTGAATGACACAGGGTTACTAGGAGATGATGTAGAGTATACACAGTTGGTAAGTAGCTTATCTGCTAAATCATTAATTTCTATAAAGCTTTTCCTCTTGAATACAATGGAATGTAAGTTTCTATCCATACAGTCTTTCTATAACAATAAGAGCTAGGAAATGTGGGCAATAGGTAAAGAAGTAAGAGCTATGTAGAAGGACTTGGAAGTAAGTCCCCAGATCAGAGCACCCCCAGTCTCTGAAGAAGTTTGAGGTAAATTCCATTAGCCTGATTCTCTTACAACATTTTAATATTGGTTTAATTCCATTGATGTCAGTGGAGTTGCTCTTGATTTACATCAGCATCAATGGGACAGGAATCAGACCCTATGAATAATCTCTAACTCTCATGGCTTGTATCAGGTAATTTCTTTAGGCCTCTAAAGATTATTGTAAATCTAAATCTAGTAATATGTTTTTGCAAATCTTGGCTTGTTTATATAACACATGGTCTAATGAACACACATAATGCTCAGAATTGTTCCCAGAAGAGCAGCACAGAATTTTCTTTTACCTTGAAAGTCACTCTGATGTGATTACTCTGGCTTTATTATTGACACAACTAGCAGCCTTTTTGAATTTTCTCTGTGTGAGACATGCAATGACAGACCTATGGTGTGGATGAAACTTAATAAAAACCTTTGGTTAAAAGCGCATTCTTGATCTATTCCAAAGGGTTCTGGATGGGGTGGCAGCATGGAAAGCTTGCTTTATGAATTGTTCTTACACATGACCTACAGCGGCTGTACTTAACAGATTGCTTGAGAGTGGGGGTTGGATAAAGAACAAAATGTAACTTCATGAATATAGATCAGCTAAAGAGTTTGCCTCATAGTACCACTCGGACTGGGCAAAAATGGTTTACATTGTCTCATGTTTAATGAGCAAGATATTTTTTTATCATATGTCATTTGTCACTTACTGCAATAATTCTTATAATATCTTTTAACCTGGAGGCTTTTGCAATTAAGTTTTATGAATGCAGTTTGAAAGAGAGATATGTGAATGCGAATCAAACCCAAGCCAAAGAAGAATTCTCATAGATACGTATTGCAAACATTAGATCCGATTTGGCCAAAATTTCATTGCATTCTCGAATTGTACTTATAACAAAAAAAATCGCAAGTCTTTTGACAAAAAAAGTGGATTAATATTGTTAAACAATATTGGGATAATATGCTTGACTTACGATAAAAATATATTTGTGCTACTTATGCGAGTGGATGAGTTTGGGCAGACATTTATGGAGCACTTGCTGCTTTAAGTAGATAAATACAAAATTTAATTTGCACACATCTGCTTGAAACTGGATGATGAACTACACTGTATATGCTACTTATTCATTTTACAGTAATTATTTTTGTTTAAAAAATTGGGTATGTTTTTCATCGGTTGTTACAGTGACACACTATATTTTCAACTGACAGCAAAATCATATATAATTAACATAATAAATGGGGATAGGACAAAGAAATACAATTAGCTAGCAAGTTCTGGCTAAGGACAATAAAAAAGTTTTTAATTCCACTGCACTGTAGCACATTTTAACTACATAAATTAATACGTGAGGTGCAGGGATCACTTCACCCAAGACCATATCTGAGAGGGAGGGGAGTTCTACTAGCCAGTAAAAGGGGAAAGAAGCCATATCTGGCTATTTCTGCTATTAAAATATGTCTGTGTAACAGTGTCCCTGAAAATTCCAACATTTTTGCACAACTTTGGCTTTTGGAAATCAGGCAGCCATCAACAGAGGGTGAGGTCAAAGTCCCTGCCTTTTTCTTAAGATGATTTCCCCTTTCTGGACATTATTCTCTTCTTTTGTCTTACCTGGACTGAGATTATCATCTCTATGCTGTGGGCACATTTAAAGTTCATTCTGGGTTTAAAAATACTCGAAGAGATTCCATCCTGTATAAATAACATGGAGGAATACCAATAGAATCCGTGATATCTTGAGAATCAGAATAAAGTACCTAAGGGTACCCTTTATAATTGAGGGTTATTATGATAAGTAGCAAATAGCAAACTGACTTTTCTTTGTGTAGTTCATTATTGGATAAGCTGAGTGGTACACAGACAGTGTATGGTCAGGGTATTTTAATACATGCCTGTCTCTATATAAAACTTTCCTTAATAAGTTCCCAAGACACAGAAAAGATGTCATATTAGATACCACAAAGAAAGGGAAAATCCAATCTGTACATTTTCTATTTTATCATATTAGAAAGAATGGGCTGGCATCTAAAATAGCTAGTTGGCTGAAGAATAGTGAAGAACTGTGCAGATAAACACTTTTTCATTAAAAACATATATTGCTGCATGGTGGTGAGACACACAATGCATCATGGGCACTTCCTAGGCTCTAATCACCCAGAAAAACAGATTAGAACTGATATTTTTTAATAATTAGGCACATTTTTTTTCTTTCATAGACAGTAAATGTGTTTGTTCAAGATGGAGGCACTGATTCTGTACCAGTGAAAGTGCTAAACTGTGATACTATTTCTCAAGTAAAGGAAAAGATAATAGACCAGGTCTACCGAAATCTGTCTTGTTCACAGTGGCCAAAAGCTGACAGTGTTGTTCTAGGTAAGTTCTTATTTTTGTTGCTGGTATAATAACAGTGAAAACAGTGATTTGATGCTCTTATCTTTCCTGAAATGTTTCAGTAAATGTCATTCAAAGGTTTAGTTCTTGAACTATTAAGCTGAATCCACCGCTAAGCATGATGCTCTAGTACTTACTATATGGGAAATAAATTAAGTCCTTTGTGATTCAGGGCTGGCTGCAAAAGGGAGAGCAGATATTCCCAACACTGTTGGGTAAGGGATTGCTGGCAAATGAAGTTTATAAAAGTAAGCTTGAACCAGGTAGATAGCTCAGTGTGATGGAAAAACAGCAGTTTATCTGATGAAGGAAAAACTGTTCAAATGGTTTGCCTGCTGCAAATAGCAGTGTGCCTAATGAAGAAAAATGTACCTCCACTGTCTGTGGAACAGACAGAAGGCACCTCTTGGCATGTGATTGCTGAGGATATTGCTCTTGTCCCAAAGGTGGTTCTGGACTTAACTGAAATCCAAAGAGGGAGGTGTTCCTAAGCTTGCACACGGTAACCTTTATATTGCCAATTAGGAAAGCTTCAGAGGAAAATAGAGTGCCATTAACCATGGAGTTCTGCAAATTGTATGAAGGGAGGTAATGCAAAAATCCTCGTAATGTTCCAGAGGTGATTCTAGGCTAAGGGAAACTCAGGCTAAATCTACACTGGCATTTTACTGAGCTGCAACTTTCTGGATCAAGGGTGTGAAAAAACCCAAGCACTGAAAGTTATAGCTGTAAAGCGCAAGTGTAAGCCAAGCTCCTGGCACTGTAAGCTACTACCCTCATGGAGGTCAGGCCTGCTGCGAGGGAGCCAGGAACGGAGGGGCAAAGAGGGCAACTGCACCAGGGCCTGGTGATTCAAAAAGAGCCTGGGGCTCCTGGCTGCTGCTGCCTTTACTGCAGTAGTAGTGACAGTTGGAGTCCTAGGCTCTTTAAATCGCTGCCAGAGCCTGGTTGGTGTACTTTGGGCAGTGCTAAGAGCTGACAAGGGGGGTGTGGCCCAAGCACACTGAGGGCTGACTGCCCAGTCCCGCCCCTTCCAGGAGAACAAAGCTAGGCCCTTCAACCATCTTGCCCAGGGGCCCGGCCATTCTGTCTGCCCACTTGATGGAGGTGGTTTACCTAGAGCACTGGGAGCGTTCTCCCAGCACTCCTGCTGTGGCCACACTTCTGTGACTGCTCTTTTACCTATGAAGTGTAAACACAGCTTCAAGTGAGTTTGTTGTGGCTTCACACAGCAATCCTTCTGTAGACCAGAAAAAAAGATGGATTGTTCCTTAGGAAGATTCCAGAAGAGAAATGTTTTTGTGGTAGTTTTTTGCAAACAATTTGCTGCAACTGAGGGATCTGGGAGTGATTTCCTTAAATTAATTCAGTGAATCACTCTATTCAGAAAGCAACAGTTTGTTGATTGCGAAGCCTTATCCACCGGTGTGGGAATATCTGCTGTCCCTTTTGCAGCCTTCTCTGACCTTGGCATTTCCAGTAGAGGTTGCCCAGGTACCCTAATAGCCCTCTTACCTGGTTTCATAAAAATGCACAGAGCACATTAACAATTTTCAATAAAACCTATTATCAGAACCAATGAAATATTCATTGTTTCACTTAGTAATTCATGTGACAGTGATATCTTGAACAATTAATTCATGTAAAGTTAATGGAGACAGATTTTCAGAAGTTACTTGTGACTTTGAGTCTGTTAGTTTTTGATTGCCTAACTTATGGCAACATAAAGGGAACTGATTTTTCAGAAATGGAAAAATTTGGAACACTCAGTCTCTGAAAATGATGCCCCTTTAAGGTGTGTCCAGTCAGGCATCCAAAGACCGAAGCCTCCAAAATCACTAGTCACTTCTGAAAGTGTTTCCTTTAATGTTTGAAAAATCTACAGTTGCCTTATGAAAAATTATGAAAAACACTTTTTGTGACATGTCAACTCGTGCCATAATTTAAGGAGATGACAGGCTGTTGATTTTTTTTTTTCCTTCAATGCATTTGCCTGAAAACAGATTTTTGTTTGTTCCACAGGAAGTCCTTAATCCTCTTGTTTTGGACATGACAGCAATTTTTACAGCAATTAATTTGGCGTCCTAAACTTAGGATTTTGACTTCAATTAAAAGATAAACAGAAAAATCACATGAATTTTTAAGCAAAACCTGTATAAAGTTTCCTAATAAGAAACAAATGGGAAGCAGGAAAGCCCAAATATTTTAAAACAAAGTATCTTTTGAAATATTCCATGATGTTTCATTGGCTCTTTTTAATAGAAAACTCTTTAGTGCTGTACTGTTTTCATTGCATAAGGATAAAACCTGTTTCTTCTTCTTGTTTTAATTACTCTGTAGAGTGGCGTCCAGGTTCTACTGCCCAGATCCTCTCAGATTTGGATTTAACATCCCAACGAGATGGCAGGTGGAAACGTATCAATACTCTCATGCATTATAATGTAAGGAGAATTGGTGATATCGGTTAATTGTCTCAGGAATAAACTTCTCTTAGGCAAGCCAGTCCCTCTCGAAAAGCTATGTAATAAGGGAGACTAGAAAACATAATGTTGCTTTCTGGAACGGGAGAACATATCTGTCAAATTCTAGTATTCTCCCTGGCATACTCTGCATCACCTGAATACAATTCCAAATTGCACCATGAGTTTTTAAAAACTCCCCTAGAACTTTACATATCCTCTCAGCAGTCCCAGATTTCATGGGATTGTCTTGCTTTAGCTCCCAAAAATTCATCTCTGTTGAAGGGCTCCTCTTCCATAGCACGGGCTGGGCTCTGCTCTTCTTTCTAGGCATTGCAGTCTAGAACAGGGAGCTAAAGCCAGCCAGCTCCTCACAACCAGAACTGCAGAAACCAGCACAGTGAGATGAGTGTAGGACAGGCTCACTCTACAACTCCCCACTGCCATGCCTTCCTACCCCTGGGTGCAGCACCCACACACACACACTTCACTGCAGGAAACCTTTTTAGCTAATGCAGATTTTTGGGAGATGTATATTTCTGCCATTCCTACCTACTCTTCTTCTCACACCACTTTTCCCATTTTGGAAGCTGCTTCTTTGCCCTAATCCCTACAGATCCTTCCTTCAGAGTTTCTTCTGTGTTCTGCCCCATCTCTCCGGATCTTTTTTCATTTGTGTCACACACACTGCTTCACTGATGCGTTTAAGAACTATAAACCCTGATGTGGAGCAAAGTAATTTTTTAATCTTGTTTATAAACCCCTGGTACACACAGTCAAGTAACCAGTCTTAACACAATGTTTCAGGTTATATATGAAATATGAAAAAAAATGGCAGGATGATGGAGTAGGGGGAGAGCACTGAAATATTTTTTTTGTATATTCTGTCTAGGTTTCATGCTGCACTCATCATCAGGATATGCAAGCACATGTGATCTGATTATGTACTGTCCCGTCCCCTTCCCCTCCCTCCCCCCCACACACACACACTATCTAACCCTTTCCTGGTGGCAAATATGTTGCCGCTTAGGTGATGCAGAGCAGCTCCCTAAGAAGGCAGATATCTCTGGGTATGACTACACTACATGGCTCCGTTGACGGAGCCATGTAGATGAGCTTTGTAGACATAGCAAACCTCGTGGGATGAGGTTTACCGGGGCGGTCAACAAAGGCTTTTGATGTCGACCGCCGAGCGTCCAGACTACCACACTGAGCCGACAAACAGCTGATCAGCACAGCGTAGCAGCCATTTTGATGTAAATGAAGCAGCGATTATTTAAATCGCCACTTCATTTTGCTATGTCTACAAAGCTCATCTACATGGCTCCGTCAACGGAACCATGTAGTGTAGACATACCCAGAGATATCTGCCCTCTGTTCCTTTATGGGGAACTCAACGCTGGTGCAAAGGGCCCATGCGAACAGCTTATGTGCCATTGAACTCTCACCCATGTTTTGAATAGCATTATCAGCCTTGGAGAAAGCTTTGCCTGTGCCCTCTAAAGTAGCAAGTGTCAGAGCTTGAGCCCTTCCATAGGAGAGGGCTATTGGAGATGAGGAGCCTGAATGTTAGTGTGCGTATAGCACCTCTCAGTATCCAGGCCCTAACTCAGGAGTGGGCCAAAGGGCCTCTGCGGTCTGGATCCGGCTCTCCAAGTGGATTGATCTGGCCCATGGAGGTCTTGCTACTTCCCTGCCCCCAGGCCAATCAGGACCTAGGGACGGGGGAGCGCGCTGTGCTTAGAGTCGACCCTGTGCTTAGAGTCGACCTTGCCACGCGCCGAAGGGCAGGAAGCAAGAGACTTCACACTCTCCCTGCCCCCAAACCATGTGCTTCTTGCAGAATGGGATCAGGGAGGGAAGAGACTTCATTCATTCCCCTCGCCCCAAACCCTGATTGACCTGAGGGCAGTGGGAGTGTGTGAAGTCTCCTCCTGCCTTGCAAGGGGCTCAGCACTTAGTCAACCACCAGCTGCTGCTCAGCTGACTGGTGTTTCTAATCATGGAGCTCCCTTGCAGGGCAGATTTTCATGCTCCCCCCAGGCCCTGATTGACCTGGGGGTGGGGAGGGAAGCAGTTAAAGTCTCCTCCCATTGCCAGGGTCGTGGGCACCTAGAGGGAACCGCCAGGTGTTCAGAGCAGCTGGTGGGTCTCTCTAGGGTGCATAGGCAAAGACTTCACATGCTCTCCTACTCACAGACCAATCAGGGTCTGTGGGAGGGGAAGCACAGAAGTGTCCTGGCCCCACCCCTTCTGGGGCAACCTGGACTCATTTCAAAAATTTCTGAAGTGGCCTCTGGTCACAAATTGTCCCCTCCCTTCTCTCCCCCCTCCCCCCGGCTCCGCCATAAGTGGAGGATAAGAAAATGGGTTGGTATCTGAAAAAAAACCTGCTTAGGTGGGGAAAGACTCCACAAATATGAGGTTCCGGCCTGCTTCTAGTAATTTTATATTCTCTGTTTTTCTTCTTGAAGGTCCGAGATGGTGCCACACTTATCTTGTCAAAAATAGGAATTTCCCAGCAGCCAGAGGATAATCAGCAAGATGTCCCAGGGGAAAGTAAGTATAATGGGGCTGCTCTGTGTCTCCAAGGGGAGTACAAGACAAAATGCACAAATAGACAACGTTGATTTTGCCTGATCTTGTTTTACAGGAAAATACATTAGAGATTTCCCACCTGGTAATGTTACACTAATTTAAGTTGCTTCTCTTCTGTACACCTTGTTCACTATCTTTCTAAAAGCCTCAAGTTATGGGGCTTTCGCGGCTGTCTTTAGGAGACTGTTCCCTATCTTAATTCAGTTCACTCTCTGGAAACTTCTGGTATTTTGCCAAAATTGGATTTTAGTCTCATTACTCCTAGCTGTAACCTGCATGCTGCCCTCCACTGTATCCCCCCCGAAGTGCTATATTCTCCCACCATCCTTGGTGTTTAGAACCTTCAAATATTTGTAAACTATTTAGATTGTTTCCTTGTTTCCCACCACCGGCATCACCCTCTGTCGTCATTTAAATTCTTGTAGTTTGATTAATCTTTCCTCGCAAGTCAATCATTTCATCCCTTTGAGTATTTTGAGCTGTTCTCTGAATTCAATCCAACTGATCTATACCTTCCTTGGAATACATTGCTCTGAATTTAGTATGAGGTTTCAGGTCATGCTGCACTAGAGAGATGTTTGGAAAGGGATTGTTTATCTCCATGCCCCATGACATGATGATTTGTTCATGCAACCCAATTACAATGGCTTTTTTTCACACTCCTATTGCTTTGCTCATGCTTGGTCTGTTGCCTCTGTTACCTTAAGTTCTTTTCAGATTTACTGCTACCTGATTATTTCTTCACACTGCGTGCACATCAGATAACTTTTCACGAGTTGTATTAGCTTTGCTTTTGTCCAAGTTGAGTTTCCACTTTGCTATTTCCTGCCCACAATCCAAATTTCTGTAGGTGCTGTTTTATTGTTCCTTTCTCCTCGCTGGAGTTTACAACTCCTCCTCATTTCATGTAATTTAAGAATTGAATTATTTTGTTGTTTACTCTCTTTTCTAGATCACTAATGCAGCCATTACATAAAGCTAGTTTTAACATTTCTACCTGCTAAACACCTCCCATCAACTCAGCATATGGTTCTTTGCTTGCATCTTTAAAATAGAGCTTTCAGTCCACATGGCAGTATCCCTGTCCAAGCCAATTTGATCTGAACTTTCAAGGAAGCCTTTGTGAAAGAATATCAAATGTTTTACTAAAGTTCAATGTGTTACATCAACTGTGTTCTGTTTCTTCCACTTATTTTGTCATTTTCGTTCCCTTCCCTCTCCACCCAAACAACTCAGTGAAGTTTGTCTGGCAATATTGACTTTTTGTCAACTTTCTTTATTGTGCTGGGTCTGTTACACTTAAAATGTTCAATGCCTTTTTCCCTTCTCTTCCATTATTAAATAGGGATAAAAGATTTATTCAGTGATAATTGCCTGGATCTTTTTTCCTTCATGTTTTAAACTGATTTAAAATGCTTCTGTCACTGAAGGCTAAACCCTGGGCTTCATTTAATAGTTTATTCTGTTTAACAGATCTGCTGATCTTAGTTTGACAAAATACTTGAAAGCTGTTAAATATAAAGGAATGGAAATAATATAACAGAAATTTACCTCTTTTTCCAGGGGTTCTGTAATGGCTGTCAGCTAGGGCTTTGATATATATTGCTGTTTAATAAAAGTGTGCCAAACTGCCATGTTGAGAGTTGACTAGGGCAGCAGTCTAGGTAGTGCTACGAGCAGTTAAATTTTACTCTCTTCTTTTTGGGACTCTTATTGAAATGTTTTTTCAGGGCCCTTGGAAGGCTCTTCCAAGGGTATTAAGTGTAATGCATTTATTTTTAATTCTTAAATGTGGAGTAAATGTTAAGCCTGTTTGAACCTGCGTTCCACAACTTACATATTGTGGTGCCAAAGGAAATTTTGATATGTTCATTTCTCAAGCCATAGGCAGAGGATGATCCCACTTTTTGCTTTATGCCTATGCCATTACATTCAGAGATGTTATGGGTGAAGAAGCTTATTGAAAACAAATGGCTTATATTGCTAAAATTTGACTATTTAATCATACACGTGTCACTCTAATCAGCAGAGGAAAGCAGAATTCTCCTGCTAGTGTCTTTGCAGAGAGCTCAGTCATGCAAAGAAGCAGCTCTGGTGAATTTCAAATGGTGAAGTACAGGAGTAGCAGCAACTGCTGTCGTCTTTCCATCCCATGCCCTCTCCCATACAAGCCAGAGCTTACAGCAGAAATTGGGAAGGCAATATTTCATGCCTCATTCGTGCATTTTCATTAATGCCTAGGTCTTCTAGAAATATCACATGCCAACTTGTTTGTTTGGAAAGCTATAAAAACATAACAAAGCCAGGCCAAAGTTACAGCTCAATGACAATGATTTGTATATTGCAGAAAAAGGGGAGGAAGGGAATAGAGGCTTAAACACACACTCTTGCATTCTTAGATGACAGAGTCAAGGAGAAACACCTCCTGAGTCCAGTCTTTTTCAAATAAAAAGAGATAGGCTTTCTTTTTAACCAGAGTTTCATGTTAACTTAAGATTTGTTTTGGAAATCACACTCTATCAAAGAACTACATTTGGCCCAAAATAAAAATATAAAATGTCCAAATGTTCTAAAATCTGATGTTGCTTCTTTGTGCTTTCTGTTTCCCAGCCTTCAATAAAGAAAGATACTAGGGGACTGGTTGTGTAAATTAAATGTCAAAGATTTTCAGCTGTGGAGATAGTAATTGTAATTCTATCTTGGATTAAAAATGACAATGAGTTTGCTTGTATACTAGCTTCTATTTCTATAGCATAGGACTAGGAAATTAGGGAAAACTGCCTGTCTGTTCATGACCTACTTGGGCTTAGAGTATCAGGCAAGTTGCAAGTTAGAGTTGTTTCTAGCCAGTCTGTACAGCATGAGTGTGGTTCATGCTAGTGTAGCGGTTATAGGTCTATTGAAGGAGTGGGTGGATGAGGTTCTGTGGTCTGCGAGGTGCAGGAGGTCAGGGTGGTCCATGAGATGATGATAATGGTCCCTTCCAATCTTAAAGTCAGTGAGTCTAGTGTCATAAGTCCCTCATGCTCATGAGTATTTAGTCACCTTGAAACTTTGTTTTAAACAGGAAAAGGGGGAAATTTCAGAGAGTTATAGCCTCTTGTTATAATGTCTTTATTCACGTCTTAGTTTATTATTGGTGAGAACTTAAAAAACAACTGATATCACCTGAAAAATCCTCCGTTTATAAACCATACTATTGGTTGGACCATTCTAGTCTAGTACTATGGTCCCAAACGAGGGGATTTGCTGGACCTGGGGAGGTCCCTCCCCTAATGGCTAGTGCTGCCCTGCTGCCCCCAGGCTAGGCTCCAGCCCAGTCCCCCCAGGGCTCTCTAGCTGCTGCTGGGGCCAGAGCACTAGAGTCAGAGCTCCACAGCCGGGGCTGGAGCTTCGCAGCCGGAGCCAGAGCTCCCTGGCTGCTGCTGGGGCTGGAGCTCCCCAGAGGCAGAGCTCTAGTTCCTTTTGGCCCCAGCAGTTGGGGAGATCCAGCACCAGTGGCATCCAGGGCCGGGACCAGAGTTCCCTGGCTGTCTGGGGCTGGAGCTGCCTGCTGTGGCCAGAACATGGCCAGAACTCCATGCTACCCATTCTTCTCCCCTCCCCCCGAAACACAGCACAACCAACTGACCCCCCCACCCCGCCCTGCCCCGCTGCCAGAAAGTCCTGGTTTAGGGAGGAACAACCTGTACTATGTTTTGTTGTTCCATATTACACATTTCTCTTCCTTTTTCATGCTGCTAATCTTAGCAATGAAGTGGGAATTTTGTATCTTTAAAAGGGCATCTGCTTGTCCTGTTCATTTCTGTAGAGCCCTGATTTTCAATGAAATATTAATTATTTCACCAAACAACCAATTATGATGTCATTAAAGGAATCTGTTTGAAGCTCAGTCCTAGTATAAGTAACCTCTACAGTGGGATTGTCTGTTTACTCTGAAGTTCAATTTGCCCCTTTTATAGTTAAGGAGGAAACAAAGAAATATATGCATTAACCAGGCTTAGTTAAGGTAGAAAAATGGGTTTCATTATAACTACCTATTATCATTTACAGAAGCAAATAAGAAGCCCTGAAAAAATACTACAGTACACAGACAACCAATAATTTTTCTGCATTCGATATTTTGAAAATTCTAAGCTTTAGAAAATAATTAAATTTCTTTGTCGTTCCATTGTGACATCACAGACACTGCACTATAAAATGATAGTTCCAGTAAAACAATATCAGTAGCAAAGGTTGGAATAAATACTTTGTTATACGCCATTTACTTCAGTGACATGTGAACTTATGATCCTGCCCCCCAAAACTCTTAAATTCAAAGTCAAATTAAGCCCACTTTAAATAGTAAGTATGGGGGGAAATTAAATATAATTCAATGGCGACAATGACTGCAAAGAAGCAGTGATTGCAAAATTAATATTACACAAGAGTATACATGTTCAGGGTTCAACAGAAACTTTACCTTGGCCAGATTGCACATATGGATCACTCTCTCTTCTTGTGCTGTATTTCCACTTACATAAAATATGCCATAAAATTTAGAGTGAAAGTAGTTTTTGGGAAACTTAATTCTGCATTTCCTAGTTTTTTTTCCACAGTGAGTTCTTAAGGTTCCATTAAAGTAATAGTATGCATATGTTCTGAAGTCACTAGAAGGTTGGAATAATACAGTGGTGAATTAGCCCTATATGCATAAGTGAGTATTTAAATCTGTGAAAGTCTTCCAAAATTCAAACTTATGCTTCCCATAAAACCTGTAATTCAGCCCCATTGCACACATTATTTTTCATTACTGTTGGGTTTTATGCCTTAATAGAAATAAATGTGTGCAATGTAACTTGAGTTATAGCTGCTAAGGGAAGGATAATTTGGAATCACATTTGTGCATTTAAATTCTCAGAAATAATGGGGCATTAATAAAGTGGGTTGCACTGAGTTACCATTCTCTTTTTTAAGAGGGAAATTGATTACACCTTTAAATAATTGAACTATGTCAATTTGACTTATATAACAGAATAGTCAGACACACTGACATTTTTTAGTATTTGGATAGAATTTCACATTTAAAACACAGTATATTTATTCTGCTGTGTCTTAATTGAACTAAACTTAGATGCAGTCTCAGTCTTTCACTATGAAGAACTCTAGTTACACCCCTACTGTAATTTGCAAAGATGACTGAATTTGAATTTCTTTTTCTTGTCCCCCCTGAGTGCTGAAATACTCTCTTGAGGATAAGGGCTGGACATGTGCCTTGTAACTCACCATTCCTGTTTCATGGTATCTGTGGGATTAATGAGCTCAGCCTCTTAACAGTGTACATATACTATATTTTTAATGTGGTTTTATCACAATTGCTGTTTCTAGGACATGCATTATTGGAAGATGAAAATAAGGTCTGGCATCTAGTTCGGCCAGTAGATGAAGTCGATGAAGGTAAATCGAAAAGAGGAAGTATGAAAGAAAAAGAGAGAACCAAAGCTATTACAGAAATCTACCTGACAAGGCTTCTATCTGTAAAGGTAGGGTTTACTATCCAATTAGCCCATCATAAGACGGGATTTTCAGATCTCTCCTCCACGTTGGTCTCTCGCTCAGTCTCTCGCTCTCGCTCTCTCTCCTCCTCCTACTGCCTCGCCCCCCATCTTTCAGCTCTCCTCCGCCTTCTGCCTCTCTCTCTCTCTCCTACCTCTCTCTGCTCTCCTCTGTCTCATCGGGGATGCACGCTCGTCTAGGCCCCGTCCCCTGGGCATGTACGTCACTGCCCCACCCCCGTTCGCCTCCCTCAATGGTACTCGGCTGAGTTCTGTGCTGCTCAGTCAGGCCGCTGTGCGGGAACAAGCAGCGCAAACTGTCTTTCTCTCTTCTCCTCCTACTGCCTCTCCCTCTCTCCCTCAGCTCTCGTCCACCTCCTGCGTCTCGCTTTCTCTTCTCCCCTCCCGCCCCTCATTCTGTGTTTCTCTTCTTTTCCTGCTGCGTCTCTCTCACTCTTTCTCTTGCTGTCCTCCGCCTACTCTCCACCTCCTCCACTCTTCTGTCTCCTCCGCGTCTGCTTTGCTTTCCTCCTTTTGAATCCGGCACCCTTTCCTGACATCAGAGACACATGCTTGTCCAGGCCCCAACCCCTGGCTAGTCCCTCTGGGTGGCACTGTTGCCTCCCACTGTGGTGCTCAGCTGATTTCTGTACCACTCAGACGGGCTGCCACACAGTAGCAAGCAGCACAAGCGGACGTTTGGGCCCCGTGTTCCCTATGCAGCACCCTCGTGCTGCATGGGGAGTGCAGACCCCAAACAGCCGCTTGTGCTGCTTGCTCCCGCGCGGAAGCCTGGCTGAGCGGCGCAGAAGTCAGCCGAGCGGCACGGCGGGAGGAAACAGCGCCACCCAGAGGGAACAGCCAGCGTTTCAGCATTACAGAGTCAGACATTGTGCTACTATATATATATATATATGATTAAGCAGTTCTTTTAAGGAAGCTGATTAGATTGCATGGTTCAAATGACTTAAATGCTGAGTTATTAGATAGATGAAGGTAGGGAAAAGTGATTAGGGATGTAAACAAGTAACTGGTTAAGCGATTACCTGGGAGCATCCCGCAGCTCACCGCAAGTGGAGGGTTTGGGAATTGGCAGCCTTGCATAGGACTGCAAGTGGCAGCTTGGGGCTGGGAGTCAGCAGCACACCTATTCCTCTCCCTCCCTCCCACTGCTGCTTCCAGCCCCACATGAGGCTGCCGATATCCAGCCCAACAGAAACACACTGTTTAATTTGCTAACTGGTTAAACTTAAACTAATTCATTTAACTAATTAAATGGGATTTTACATCCCTAAAGGTAATATCTTTTATTGAGCCAACTTCGGTTGATAAAAGAGATAAGTATTATGCAGATCTGGGAAACACACTCTGAGGGCAGGTCTACACTTACAAAATTGATGCATAAAGGTGCTGTACACCAATGGGAAAGAGCACTCCCTTCAGCGTGGTTAAACCCACCTCCCTGAGAGGCGGTAGCTATGCTGATGGGAGACTCCTTACATTAGTAACACAGGTTTATACTTCATATTTCTAAGTTTAAGTAGCAGAATTATAAATAGGATAAACACATTCAGCAGATCATAACCTTTCCAGCGATATTTCACATGAAGTGTTTTGCATAAAGCGTATTCCACTTATGTCATATTCATAAGCAGGGCTCGACAAATTAGTCAAACTGCTTGCCCGGAGCGAGTAGATTTTAAGCCGGCATGGCGCCGCAGCGCGATCAGCGCATGTGCAGCATGCCAAACCGTGCGGCTGGTGAGCAGGGCTCACCGCTGCTTGTCAAGCCCTGTTCATAAGCATATAAAGAATATCAAATGCTCCATGTGTTCCATGTGAAATGTTATGAAATCATACTCCTTTTAAAACAGAGCACGGGATTACTTTCCTCAACTCCATTCATTTTGTAGCTGTTTACAAGGACATTGTGTGGCCATGGCCTGTCATCATGCATCTTTGGCATTCTGGGCCAAGGTCTTCAATGATTATGATCAGAACATAAAATGGAGAGAAAATATAGACTAACATAACATTTGTACTACATGCTCAGTTCTAATATCCGTTTTCTTTTTTTAACACACTTTCAGGGTACACTTCAGCAATTTGTAGATAACTTTTTTCATAGTGTACTCAACTCACATCATGTTGTGCCACCAGCTGTGAAATACTTTTTTGATTTTCTTGATGAGCAAGCAGAAAAACATGAGATCAAGGATGAAGACACCATTCACATCTGGAAAACAAATAGGTAAGGTTCAAGCAAAATAGTAATTGGACTGAAGAGAAACAGTAGCAATCACTCTAAATATAGATCTAAGTGGAAAGAAAATGAATCTGTAATTCTGAGAATGGCTTTAATTGAAACCATTACATGGATCAAAGAGGTACTTATAACACTAGAAAATGCAAAAATAGAGCGAACCCTACTTTAAAGGGTAGCTATTTGCACATGTTATCTTTTATCTGTCATCTTTCCCCAGTGCACCTAGAGCTGGAGATTTCCTGTAATGCTCCCACTTGCCAGCAGTGAGTGGCAAAGGGACCTGTGCTAAAGTATTAAGTTTCAAAACCTAAGCTGATGATTAAAAGGCATAAAAGTAATGTGTATGTTCTCTAACTACAATTGTTTTCTCCCCATTTGGAGAGTTTGGGAATTCTCCACCTCTCTTCCTATGAAAGTAAGAAATGTACATGCTTTTATTTTTAATAAGGGAAACCAGACCATAAGTAGTTGTTCATATAAGAGTCTGAATGCATAAATGAGCTAAAATGTACTCAAAAATACAAATGCAAAGTATACCTTTAGTTTTCTGGAGTCCTATTGCTGCATTATGTTCATTGTGTAAGAGAGTGTGTTTACCTCTTTGTTTCCTTTGCAGTTTGCCACTTAGATTCTGGGTAAACATATTGAAAAACCCCCATTTTATCTTTGATGTTCACGTTCATGAAGTAGTGGATGCTTCCTTGTCAGTCATTGCACAGACTTTCATGGATGCCTGCACGAGAACAGAGCACAAATTAAGCAGAGTAAGTGATTTACATTCTACACCATGGCTAAGTTCACTCTTGACAGACAATATGAGATTCTGGATAGATCTATTTTTAAAACCACTTATAAATTTATCACTGTGGCCATTTAACAGGTTAGGTGAAAGTTTGTAGCTTATAATTTACAAAGGGAATAAGATCACAAACTGTTATTCATCATTATTCACCAAAAGTTTTTAGAGAAATCTAAGTTAGTACAGGCAGTCCCCGGGTTACGTACAAGATAGGGACTATAGGTTTGTTCTTAAGTTGAATTTGTATGTAAGTCGGAACTGGCTCCAGATTCAGCTGCTGCCACTGAAACTGACCAGGGGCTGACTACAGGAAGCCGGAGGCAGAGTTGCTCTGCCCCCAGCTTCCTGGAATCAGCCTGATCAGTTTCAACAGCTGCTGAATCTGGAGCCTGGGGCTGAACAGCTGGGGCGCTACCCGGTTGGTTCCCACAGGACCAACCCGGCAGCACCCCAGCTGCTCTACCCGAGGCGTCCCGCAACAAAAGCCCGGTCTGCTGGGGGGGGGCCGCGCACTAGCTGTGCCCCCTCCCCCCCCCCCCCCCCAACCAGGAGGACCGACAGCCCC